TTTTCTCTGAGCAAGGAAGTCATAATCCATGACTTTCCAGGAAGCGATCAAAATTTTGCAGTACATAGATTTTAACATTATTTCATATGAGCTGTCCTATGATAGGGATTGGCACATACATACTTGCATAGTCAGAAATTATTTAAATGTTTATTGGCTAAAATACAATTTCTGTAATATATGCTTTTTGCTTTCTATTAAAATATGACTTCATCTGATAAAATATACCATGCAAATAATTTTAAAACCATGATAAAAGGAATCCAGGTCCYAGGCCATCCTCTGACCTAGGATGAGTTGCCTTATTTTTCTGAGCCTCAGTTTCCTTGTATAAAAGATGGGGTTGTTTATGTAGAACCTAACTTCACAGGTTACTATAATTAGAAATTACATTGCATAGTGCCTGGCACACGATTGGTGCCTAATATATGGAAGCTAATGTCATTTATTAGCATTACCCATAGTCCCAATGTGTCCCGGCAGAATCCACTGCTCWTTACCTGCCCTGCACCTGAGTAGGTGAAATATGGGGGATCCGAGGAGTCTCTGGGACAGGTTCAGAGGGGAAACTTTTTGTCTATCACCTCCTCCCTTCATCCTCATCGACCTGTATCCCAGTGACTGGCGCCTCCTGGGAACCTGCAGGGTAAGTGTGGGTGGGGAGAGGATGAGGTGACKCGCTCATCCTAAACAGGTCTCCCTGACCTGCCRCTCCGCTCTGCAAGCCCAGCRCAATCTCAGCAGATCTCAGCCTGGGAACCGTCCTCCCGCCCGYCCTGCCCCGCCCCGCCCTGCCTACCACTTTCCTCAAGAGCCATCCCAGCCCTGCCCGTCTTCTTTGGATTTGCACTGCCTGGGCCTGACTTTTCTGGGGAAACTGCTTTGGGATTGAGGTTCACTGAAGGTGTGGTTCTATGACATGGCCAGTGCACACGGCAGAGCCACAGGGTAGGGTGGAGAGGGGTGGAGTGGTGTGGGATGGGGTGACCTCTCTCCTGCCCCAGGGCCTGGGTGCTTTGCACAAATGTGGAAATCTTTTCCTCCTTAATCTTCAGTTTGAGAGCAATTTAAATTCCTGCAGCTGTTGGGGTGGGGGTTGAAAGCCTGGGGTGGGCAGGTGCGTGAGGCCACAGAGCCATGGATGGAGGGCTGGGCTGGACACTCAGATCTGGCATCTGGGAGTCACAGCTCAGAGAGGCCTTCAGTGTAGGGGTTCTCAGGATAAGAGCAGAAACAGGGGCTTCAGCAAGGAGCAGAGGGGTGGGGAGAAGCTGGACAGGCAGAGAGGGAAGGAAGGATATTCTAGGAGCAGGAAAGGTATCACAGAGGCAGCAGAGAGCCCTGCGGAAACAATAGCTAGCTCCTGTGGCTGGAAAGTAAGGGTAGAGGGAAACTGCAGAGCGTCCCTGAAGCCTCACCCCTTMCAGCCCTGCTCATGTTTAGAGCCAGGGCTCAGCCCTCCCTGAGGTTCACACACTCTTTGCAGAGTTGAGGGATTACCCATCACTGAGGCAATGACAGGGACTTCCATGACCCTCAGGTCCCCCACTGCCCACTCCTCGCACAGGAATGGCCTCCCCCAAGAAASAGGAGGCTGCCTGATTGCTCTTGCGTCCTGGGCAAAGGCCTATCAATGCTGCCTCCAGGCTGGCCTCCTGGTGTTGGACACAGCACATCTCCTCTCTAGCCCTGGGTGGGCAGGGTGGAAAGGGGCAGTGGGAGCTGAGCCCCGGGCACTCACACTCTGGGCCACCCCCACCCTGCTCACAGAGGCTCCAACGCTGACCCAGGCACTGGAGCTTGTAGAGATTGGGTTCTCCTCAATCTACAACGTCCACAAGTCAGGAGTCCCAGAGACCTAGGTTCAARCCCCTCTTTGCCAGTTGCTAACTGGATGGCACATTGCTTAARCTGTCTGAACCTCAGTTTCCACCTCTGCCATGTGGGAGTGACCTGTGGGCCACAGGTGCTTGTTCAGAGACAACAGTTCTAAGTGCCTGGTGCAGGGGCAAAGTGAGAACCCACGAGACATATGTTGTGCAGAAAAGAAGTGAGTTGACCTGGATCCTCTGTATTTTCCCCAACTTATGCTGGGTCTTCCTCTCTACGCAATAACAGGGCAGGCTCAACCTTCAGAGAGGATCTGTACCCAGACAAGTAAGTGCCCATGCTATGCTGTGGGGACCTAGAGTTCAGCCTGGTCCCCCCTGTACCACCAACCTACCCCACCCCTAACTGGGGCCATTCAGAGAGCCTGGCCCTGGGGCCCACCCTGAGACCAGCCTCCCCACTACCTGGGCGGACCCACGAAAGTGCAGGACCGGCCCCACCCTTTCCAGAAACCAGGCTGCAGAGTTAGGGGTGGAGGCGGCACAGAAGCAAGCTCCACCACCTCCATCCGGGCAGTGGCACCGTCCTGGCYAAGTACCAGGAGAGACAGCCCATGGCAGTGGCTCTCATCCCCCCGCTCCCCGCAACCAACTCCCAGGGGTCTGGTCAGAAAGTTGGCATGGCCCTGGCTCCCAGATGGAAAGAGAGGTCSCCTGAGGCTCTCTGTAAATCCCTCTGCAAGGAGGGCTCAACCTGACTGAGCACTGGTGAGCCGGCTTCCCAGCCCCAGAGCCCCTGAGAGTGGCTAGTCAAAGTGGCTAGTCACAGGACAGTGGCCCTACTGCAGCCCCTTCCCACTCCTGAGTGGTCAGGAGGCCCAGACCAGCTCAGGGCCATCCTGTATCTCCAGTGTTTGATTCRACACCATGGCAATCAAAAAACTAGTGGACTTAATGAATTAACTACATGTAGCTATTTTTCCTACGTATGTTTACCTATGATAAAGTTTGATTTATAAACTAGGCAAATAAAATAAAAATATTGTAACAATGAACTACAATAAGAGTTATATGAAAACCTCCTTCTCTCTCTCTCTCTCTCTCTCTCTCTCTCTCTCTCTCTTTCTCTCCCTCTCTAAATATCTTACTGTACTACTGTGTCCCCCCTTCTTCTGATGACTATGGATGATTGAAACCCCAGAAAACCTAATGTAACCAAACAGCCCTTGAATACTTTCATCACCAATAAATGGGGAATATTGGGGGGGAGGGGTTAAAGATCTTTCCTGGACCCAGGTGACTTTAAAGAGAAAAGATATAACATGGGACTGACCTCAGGGGAGATGCARAGGAGGGCAAGGGCTGCCTCCTGGCTCTGCCTCAGGATGTAGTTTTGGGGAGCACCCACCTCAATGGGCACGGAAGAGTGATCCTAAGGATCCAGTGGGAAGGGAGGAGCCAGAAGCAGGACCAAGGCTGCTGCCATCCCCTTATTGCTCCAAGGGTGACCTCGAGGTATAGGAGGTGGAGCCCCACAGGTACTTGATGGTGGTTGGAAAATTCTGTCACTCTGGTTTTGGAACTAATGCCACTRTCTCCAGGGGATGGGGTGCTGTCACATGTGCCCTTCCCTGTAGACTAGGGTGAGTAGAACTGGGGTTGTGCCCAGGAGCTGCTGGAAGGTCTTCTGGGGACCACAGTAAGAGCTCTTCTTAGGCCTGAGGCCCAGGCTCTTGCCTCCTGCCTGTTTGGGGGACACTGACATGGGGTCTCCTTGTCCCCCACTGGRAAATGCTTGGCTTCTGCTAATAGCTGTGGATCTTCAAACACACCATGCTAACTCCTGCTTCTAGGACATGATACRAGGCCCCCAAACCCACACACAGACCTCATCCCCCGTGACATTCTCCCCCTCTCCCTCTGAGACTCAGGGTAGACATACTTTCCTCCAGAAAGCCCTCTGCCTGCCAAGGCCAGGGGACCCATCGGTGCTCCCCAGCCCCTAGGCCCTCCTTGCTGCCATGCTAAGCTGGAGCCTGCGACTCGCTGTGTCCTGTGGGCCATGCCTGCTCAGATCCCAGCACGCCTGTCCAGGGCCAGRCCCAGCAGTCAGCTCAGGAGGTGGCTGTCCACAGGATGGACCGAAGGAACAAGGAACAGAGCTAAGGCGGAGCCCCTCCCATCACCCCAGGACCGTGTTCTTGTGGTGTCGATCACTGGTGTCCGTCACAGTGCTTGGCACACAGCATCAACAGGCCTATACTATATCCCAAGGGTATAAGGGGTGACRCAGTCCTGGGTGGCACTGAGCTAGTGGTCGCAGCAAGGCCCACGTGCTCAGAGTGAGGAGARGTGGGTTTCCAATGCCTGAGAGATGTGGACGCCTTCTAAGAGACAGGGCCCCTGGGCTCCTGTGGATGGATGGCAAATAGGTAATGGGCAGAGGCATTCCAGGAGACAGAGTGGCCGGAGGAGAGGTTTGGCGGTGCAGGAGGACAAGCCCCTTTCAAGGATGTAGCCTGGAGACCTTTGAAACAGCTTCTCTCCCATCCTGTGGGGTTTGCATATCCTGTTAACTGAAATCCATGCTGCCATGCTATGTGCTTTAGCTCAGGGACACTGTGATCCCCAAGAAGTGGCTTTAAGCCTTAGAGGATATACAGGTCATCGGAAGGGGAAAACCATGTCACCCAGACTGGGCCAGGCCTCTCAGAAGCTCCAGCCTCAACAGCTGCCCAGGAAACCAGCCTCCTTTCCTCCCTCAAGAGCTCTCTGCCCCATAGACTCTTGGCTCTGAGTGCCCTGGCTAGGAGGAGGAAGAAATAGCAGCTATCCAAAGAGGACTGCATTGTTCTCAGGGAGTGAGTCAAGCAGTGGGCACCCCACACACACGACAGTGCCCTCCCCAGGGTGCTGCTCCCCAAGACTCACAGTGGCTAAAGTCACAAGCCCCTTCCACTGTTGGTGACTCCCTTCTGGGCTCTGAGGAGACAAGCATTCCCTGCCATGGCCTCTCCCATCTGGAGCAGATGGAAGGGACCAGACGCTCCTCCAAGCTTAGCCAGATACCAGGGCTCTGATGGCCACCCTGACTTCCTGAGACTAGGATCTCATCTCAGGGGAGGTGACAGAAATGTCATTCTGTGTGTGCAATGTGCGATGGCTTTTTATTCCTGGCATGGTGTGGGCAGGGGGCAGGCAGGAGTGCTGGCTTCCAGCTAGGCCACCTCCTGGTCTCCAGACAGGACCCTCCTGGGGTTCCCAGGAGGGTCCCAGGAGGGTCCCAGGAGCTGAGGGGTGCAAGGCAGGAACACAGGCGAGAAGAGCTTTGGTGAAGAAGACGTGGGCCCTACTTCCAGCGCCCAGTGACCTTGGCCTTCCCGCGGGTCTTGGAGCTGCAGGGGAAAGCAGGACCATTACATACAGGCACAGTAGCAGGTCTCCATGGGGAAGGGATAAAATTGAGGGATGCTGAGGGTTAAGAGGAGCAGCCTGGAGCTACCTCCAGGGGCAGAACAGGGTAGCAGCTGCAAGCTGGAGTGAGACCTCTGGTCCTACATACCATCCCCTACTGTCAAGGAACTGCCAAGAGGGAGAGAAGGGAGAATTGTTGGAGGAGCCACAAAGGGAAGTCTACAAGCTGAAGGAGAGGAGGAAGGGGTGGGAGCCCAGAGCTGTCCAAGGAGCAGGATGGCTGGAAGAGGGGGACAGAGCGGGCAGGAGATAGGGTCTGAAAGAAGGACCTCAGACACTTACACTTTCTGGTTGTCATTGATCCTGTTTCGAAGGACATTGATCTGTAAGAAAAGTGGAGAAAACAAAGAACAATTCAGCTCAGGTCTCAGGAGGCCTGGGATGAGGGAGGTGGGAGCTCAGTGCAGCCCAGGGGAGGGCGAGAGGGCACGGACACCGTTGGAGACAGGATGTGGGGTCGAGGTGCATGAGTTGAATGGAGTGACTGGGGACATGGAAGAGGTCCTGAGGGGCAGCAGTGGTGTGGACCCAGTCAAACCAGGAGAAGCATGGCATGGGAGGGGGTGTGTAGCGTGGGGCTCACTTCATATTTCTGCTGCTTGAACTTCTCCTGCAGGTCGAACTTCTCTGCCTCCAGGTTATAGATGCTCTGCCACAGTTCCTTGGCTTTCTCCCTGCATGCGCCACAGTGGGAATGGAGCAAGGGTCAATAAGGACAGCCCTCACTGCCCTTCACCCTGGTCCTGACCCAGCCCCTGGGGCCCCAATGGTAGTGCAGAGTGTGTAGGAAACAACACCAGGGGCTTCCAGAGCAGAGTTCTGAGAACTGGGAAGAAGCAGGAGAAGCCCTCCTGGCACTGAGATCATTTAGCTCAATCCCCCTCCTGCCTCCAGTGAGCAGGTGAGCAAGTTGAAGTGCCAAGCACAGACAGTTAAGGGGCCTGCTCAGTTCTCTCTACCTATCCACAAAGCTCAGATGGGTTGGGTCTGACCTGGCCCAGCCTGAATTCCCAGCAAACCCAGTTTAGGAAATGTGAGGGTGGGGCGCCCTCTGGTGGTTCCCAGCAAGAAGTGCCCTCCACCAAACCTCCAACCCCTTACTAAGACCTCAGTGCCCAAGGAATCATGGGCCTGGCCCCACCTCAGTTGGTCTTCATTCAGGTGGTCKATGGCCAGCACCTTCCTCCTCTCAGCCAGAATCTTTTTCTTTTTCTCACGTTCAGTCTGCCTCTTCCCAGTCTTCCGCTCGGTCTGAATGGGGTGCGGTGAGCAGGGGGACATGGCTAGAGACCACCCCTCCCTGTCCCCTGACCCTCCCAATCTGCCCCTGGGAGTAGGATGCTCCTGCAACACCCCACACCATCCTCTGCCTGGATTCCCCTGAGAAACAGAGGCAAGGGCAGGGAGGATATCTCCACCCTTCCTCCCATGCCTAGATGGTGTCCTCCACCTCTCTGGGCTTCCTCCTCCCCACCCAGCCAGAACTCTGCACTCCCCTCCCCAGCAAGGCACCTCCCCTCCCAGGGATCTCCTTACAACTAAAGGGAGGAAGAGAATGTGAGGTTTTGGTACCCACCTGGGCTTGCTAAGCCAGGAAACCATGAGAGAAAGACCCAGAGAGAAAGATGGAGACCGTGACAGAGACATAGAGAGAGAAGCAGAAGACAGGCAGAGAGACAGGGAGGAAAAAGTGATTCAGATGCTCAGCGCAGCAGGCCTTCTGGTGGACAGGGAGGAAGCTAGGGCTTTGGGCAGGGGCTTCTTTGATAGCTCTTGGCTGGTAGGGTCACCATAGGRCAGAGGCATAGTGGCAGAGTTGGGGACTTTGGAAATCTAAGAAAAAGTTCTGATCTTTCCAGCTGCATAAAGAAAATCAACACCTCCTCCTGCAGTGGGGCAGAGGAACAAAGGGAGTTCCTAGGAACAAACTGCCTCATGGAAAGTATAACAGACACTTTCCATGTTAGCTCATGGGACCTTCTCAAAAGAGCAGGGCAGGCAATATCAGTCCCATATGAGGAAACAGACTGGGCCCACACAGGTGTGTGTGGCACAGCTGGGTCAACCAGGCTCTGACTCCAAGCCCAGGGCTCTTCAAGCTGCACCCAACCATCTTGGGGGTGCATGGGTACCCAGGGAGCTAGAGGCGTGTTAGTCTCTACCCACAGCAGGCCCCTCATAGCAAAGCCACAGTCGGACTGAGAGTCCCCCGGGGTGGGCCTGAGGAGCCCTCAGACTCCTACCCCAGCAACAGGGAAATTGTTCCTGGAATTCAATATAAAACTGCCAACTACAGCTGACACCTCACTTCTCAAGGGTACTCCGGGACCTCCTGGCTACCCCAGCTGCCCCCCTGCCTACCTTCTGGATGTAGCCTCCAAAATGCATCATGTTAGACAAAGCCTTCTTCTTCCGGGCCTCGTCCTCGGCCTTCCTCCTGCTCTCCTCCTCCTCTCGCCGGGCCCTCTCCTCCTGGTTTTCAGAGAGGAGGAAGAGGGCAAATTAAGGGTGAGAGGGGGAAAGCCTGGCTCTGGGCTGAAGCCAAGGGTCTGCATGGGTGGGATCAGCTCTCTCCCCACTGGGCAAGGAGCTGCAGAGGGTGCCCCAGCTCTGGGCAGGCACGAATGAGGCCCTGGGCTGGCCTAGGGCTCTGGAAGGGACCTCAGCAGCTGCACAAGAGAGGACAACGGGGCCCTCGGTTCTTAGCCTGCATTAGGGAAGGGATAAGTGCTGGGGAGTCTTAAAACACCAGGATTGGGAGGTTTACTGGTGTGATGTCAGAGCCAAGACCATGGCCCGTGCTGACTTGGTGCACGCTGCCTCTTGACCAAATGGCATTTATGAATAGAGAGCTGGGAGCTGTCAGGGACACTCACAGCCAGGCGGGTCTGCCGTTCCTTCTCCCGCTCACTACGGATGCGCTGCTGCTCAGCCCGCTCAGCTCGTCGCTTCTCCTAAGGAGAGAGGCAGAGGCCCCAGTGTGCATCTGAGAGGTGATGTCACCCACCAGGGATGCCCTGGCTCCAAGTGCTCTCAGCCAGCTCCACAGATGCAGAGAGTCCACCCCTTACCAGGTGGGCCCCAGAGAAGAGTGTGCTGACTGTGTCRGGATGGCCACAGAGGACATGACAGGGGACCCACACCCAGCATTGCATGTTGGAGACCATCTCCACTATGTGGCTTTTGCTATCTCCCACAAGGGCTATGCTGCTGCCCCAGCCCTGGCCTCTGGGCTCAAAGATAGACACGGGTTGCTGAGAGGAGCTACAGACAGGCAAGATAGGTGGAGAGGAAGAAAGGAACCAGAATAACTCTGTCCCCAGTGCACTGAGCTAGGAGCCTGCAGGTACTCCCATGGTCCCTGCATTAGCGGGGTAGCTGGGCTTGGTGGGGAAAAGGCAGGGACGGAGAGACCACGGGCATTTGAGTAGTCATTGCACAGCCAGGGCCTGGGCTAGGTACTGCCAAGGTCCCGAGTGGCCACTTTCAGCTCCTGCCAACAAGGAGCACCCAGGCTGGCAGGGAGAGAAGGGGACCCAAGGAGCCACCATGCAGGGACACAAGAGCAGCTCACTGCAGCAGGGATCCTGAGGAAGGGCCACACTCTGCAGGACCTGGAGCCTGGGCTGGCTGTGGAGGAGGCCGGCCTGATGCAGGGAGGAACAGGGATGCTGGGGGAGGTGGGCTGGAGACTGGACACCTACGATCCTGTCTTTGAGAGAAACCAGTTCCTCCTCCTCCTTCTTCCTGTTCTCAAAGTGAGCCTCGATCAGCGTCTGCAGCTCATTCAGGTCCTTCTCCATGCGCTTCCTGTGGATGTCCTGTGGGTGGAGCCCTGGGGCTTAGAGGCTGCCACCTTAGTCCAGTGGACAGGTGGACCAGATAACCCCTGCCCAGTGCAAAAGGCTCTGAATCCAAGCCAGCACTCAAGGGTGGGCACCCAGCCTGGCCTGTGCTAAACACCATTCTACCCATCTGCCCCCAGCCCACAAAGCCACAGGGTCTCTCACCTCATTAGAGCTCTGGTGACCACTCCCAGCCCAGACCTACTCTACCCACAGCCACCACTCACATCAAAATCCACTCTCTCTCCATCAGGGATCTTGGGTGGCACCAAGTTGGGCATGAACAGCCTGTTGGGAGGGGAGTAAGAAGTCAGAGGAGTAACCCCGCTCAGAACCCAAGGAGCTGCAAAGGGCAGGCAGGGCCTTCTCCTTCCTGCAGGGACTTCCACACGGCCCCAGCCCACGCACAGTGCTGTCACACTAATGTCAACCCTAGTAGTCTCCATGCTTGCTCAGCACCTGGGAATACACAGAGCCCTCTCACACATGCCATTGTGTTCTTATCCTCACAATATGCCCAGAGAGAAGGCAGCAGCGCCCATCTCCCTGAAGACTGAGAGGCTGAGACAGGATGGCGTATGGGGCTGAGTCCACATCCCTGTGGTTGACCCTGAGACTCTGTCCAGGAGCCCAGGGATTCCCACAATTTGGTGTTGATCCCAACACACATATGGAGTCTGTGACACCAGGCCAGGGTGGGGCCTCTGGTCCTTGGTCTCCCCATCTGCCCTCAGGTCTGTCTGATGCTGAAATGAGACTATGCAGGGTACACACAGTGGCCAGCAAAGGGGAGGGGGCTGGATGCGGGAATGGGGCTCGGCCTGGCTTGGGAGGGAGCTGGTTTCCGCTGAACCCACAGAAGTGGGGCCAGGCCCGCGAGTGGACCCGCACCATCTGCTGGCAGGACCAACGTCACCAAGAGGGGAATGCTCCCTGCCCCCAACCACCATCCAGTGCCTCCAGGGGTGGTATCGTATACAGCCAAGCTGCCCTGTGTTGGGGGCTCTCTGAAGCCACCCCACCTAGTCTGGCATGGGATGTTGCTTGGTTTCCCAAATTCTCCTCCCTTTTTCCCCAGGTCCCACCTCAGCCCTGGAGGAGGGGGTTCTGGTCATCCTGGGGTAAAGGTGGGTGTGTCTGTCTGCCCAAGGCCCTGACTCGTCCATCCCCTTTCTCTAGCCCCATCCATGTCAGGGTGCATGATTGGTAGTGGAATGTGGGAGAGAATTCAGCCCCATTCACTCCCTCAGGCAAAGAGCCTGGTGCAATATACAACCTGTACCACCGTATGTGGTAGTCTGTGCCTATTACACCCCCAGCTCATGCCCACTGTGCCACACTGCACTCCCATCTTGTCCTCACCGCCCTCCCTCACAGGCCCTCTGCTCCCAGGGCCTGACCACAAGTGCCTCCCACTCACCTGGGCTTGGGTTTRGACTCCTCCACTGGGCCATCTGGAGGAGAGAGAAGCACACAGCCCCAGGGTCAGGAGGCCCAGGCCTGGTCACAGCTCCACCCCTGTGGTTTGGGGGCCTGGGGGCCTCCATTTCCCCCTCTACACAGGGAGTCCCAATTCCAGGAACACCAAAAGCCTGAAGGCAGCTGGGGTTGTAAACCCCCAAATTCCTGTCCCACAGCAGCTGGGGGGTGGGGGATGTCAGGGGACAACCGGGTCGGGCACACACACACTCGGCACAGGACAAAAAAAGCCTTCTCTTGTTCAGCAGTTCCAGACAAGGCAGGTTGGCTTCTCTGCTTCACTGTGRGGAGGGGCCTGTGGAGAGGTCCCCGGGGGCTCTGACCCCAGAATCCTCTCCCGAGTCAGCCATCTTGGTTGCCCCCTGGACTTCCTGGAGGCCACTAGGAGGGCCAGAGATCTGGGCCAGAAAACTAGTGGGCAGGGTTCCAAGCCTCAGCTGCTGTCTTTGCTGAGGAGGTGTGACTGCCACCACCTGGCGGCCTGGTAAAGGCTGTGATGTGACAGTGGCCACGTCGATGGCCTACCACACGGCCCACCACACGGCCACCTGAGCCTTGGGAGTTCATCTTACAAACACTGCACCCAACTACTATTTAGCCTCTGTGYCAGGAGCTGCCTGAGTGCATGTGACTTCTGGGTCCCCTTGTCTGCCCAGATGGGGGGCCTGGACACTCTTCCCCTCTCCTACTGGACACCCCCAAAGCAGCTTCTCTGAGATGAGGAGGGTCAGGGGTTAAAAGTTATTTGTCCAAAACTCTATCCTCCTTTCTCCTGCCCCGACTCCCTGGAAGGAAGCTGTGGACAGTCTCCCCCAAGCTACTGTGAGGAGTCCTGGTGCGTCCCCCAAACCTCTCTCGATGTCCACAGCCTCACCTTCAGCATCTCTGGCTTCCTCTTCTAGTCCATCTTCTAAACAAAACATGAGGGTTAATGAAGGTCCAGTTCCGAGCTCAGATTCCCCMCAAGAGCTTTCCCCACGAGCAGGTCCTGGCTCAGCCCAGCCTGCTGGCTTCTGGGGTCAGGGTCTTTCACACATACACAGTGCCCTGGGCTCGTACCTTCGGCCTTGGTCTCATCCTCAGCCCCAGTCCCATCTTCAGCCTCCTCTTCTGCTGCCTCGTCCTGCTCTGCAGAAGTGAACCGGACCCAGTGAACAACCTGGCCCTGCAGCACCCAGAACAGATAGGAAGGGGGCACCCAGAAAGGACAGCAGAGACAGGGACCCAGGGCCAACAACTTCTGGGTCCAGRTGGATTGGGGTCAACCAATGTGAATAGGAGGCTGCTCTGTTCTTGATTTAAACCAAACGTCAACAAAAAAATATATATATATACCTAATCTGGCCCCTCAAAATGTCCCTGTACATGAAGTTGGCCCGCAGTCACCCCCACTCATTCATGTCCTGTCTGTGGGTGCGTTTGTGCCCCAGTCACAGAGCTGAGTAGTTGAGGTAGAGACCGTGGCCCGAAAGGCCTCCAGTATTTACTCTCTCTTCCTGTGCAGAAAGCGTTCGCCACCCCAGGTTGCGGTGGGGGGGGGACCACAACAGAAGGGCACAGTCAGGCTTGTGAAGAGTTGTTTGATCCCAAATTTGCCTCTCTGGGAGTTTGGGAATCAGAACTGGGCCTTTCCCAAAATGGAAACCTGTTCCCTACCTGGAGGTCACCAGGAGGGCCAGAGATCTGGGGTAGAAGCAGATTAGGATGTGGGGTGTCTCTGGGGCTCCATCTACCTGACGTGACCTCAATGACCTCCCTGGGGGTCTGACTCCAGCTCATTCCCCAACTCTCGACCCCAGGAGTTCTACCCGGTGCCTGGCACCTTAGGATGGGCCCTGCTTAAGGTGAGATGTCAGGGAAGCTCCTGTCTGGGGCCCAGGGACTCTCCAAGTCTGGACACCCTTCCTCTGTGTCTAAATGAAACCAAGACAGGGAGCCTGTGTGGGTGGATGAGATGCCCACAGTTAGTATCTRTACTATCCTAAAGGTGGTCAGGATTTCTCTGTTTTCATCCATTTGCTTAGCAGGATGTGAACCCTGCCCTTTCCKGCTCTTGGAGTAGACAGGTTTTGGGGCAGACAGGGTGACATCACCACCACGGCTCTGCCTGTTGAAGTGCTTGGCAAGGCTCCTTGACTGATTGACAAGGACAGCCTCTTGGCAGAGGCAGAAAAAAATGCCTCAGGACAGAAGGAAGGGCGCACACCAGGGAGAGAGTGCAGCCTCCTTCCCTCTGCCCCATGCTCTCCCTCCTCCTTTCCCAAGTCTGAATCTCTCTGAGGCCTGCAGATGCCTCTTCTTTGATCCCTGCAAGAGGCTTACCTCAAAAAAGATCCTTCCAGAAGGCATGAGTCTAGAAGGCCAGTTTGGGGGTCCCCCTTCAGGCCACCGTTTTAACACCTCTCTGGGCCACCCTATGTGTGCTACCAGGCACCCTCACCCAGGGGTCATGCCACAGACCCGAAGAGGGGTGCTCCCTGCTCCTCCTGGCTGCCTACTGCATCTTGGGACATCACTGTGGGCCTAAGTTTGTTCTAAAATAAGCCCCAGTCTGCTTCCATTGCCCTCGTGCTAACCCTGGGCGCTGGGGAGAGTCCAGCCCCACCCCTCCCCTCAGCAGGGCACATCTAAAAGCTGACATCATGTCCTCTCTATTCTGACTATTTCCAGGGCCCCAGTTGCTCTTCAGATGACTTTCTCCGCAGACCCCTTGACCCCTGGCCACCCTGCCTGGGAAAGGCCAACTCCTAAGGAAAGACCCAGCCTGGAGCCCTGGGATGTGCCGTGGGGGCGGGACAGGGGGGCTATTCACCACAGTCAGGAGCCTCCCTCTATGGCCTCCAATGAGGAGCACAGGGAAGACCAGCCAGCCTGGGTCTTTCCCACTGCCCAGCCCAGGAGAAGCCAGTGACCCTGGAGGATACGCAGGTTCTGAAGGTCTCAGAACTGTGGTCCTGGCCCCTCTGAGACTGGGGAGGAAAGTGACTGACCCACTCAGCACTCCCCGCCCCAAAGACAGGGCCCCTGGACAAGCAGGTGGCACTCAGGACAGCAGGGAGCTGAAAGCGGGCAGGAAAAGCTGTACTACCGTCTTCGTCCTCTTGCCAGTCTTCCTCTTCCAGGTTCAGGGGTGGCAGCAGCGGAGGGGAGAAGCGAGACAGGTTAGTGTGGGGCGGAGAGCCTGGCAGTTTGCAGCAGCACAGGGCGTGGCCGTGACCATGCGGGGCTTGCAGTTAGCCTAAGGCCCACTTTGAGCAGCTCGGACAACTCCCTGCCCGTTAACTCCCCGGAGCYCCAGGTGCTTGGTCAGTAAATGCAAGATGACCTCACTCCCAGCCCACGTGAGAACCGAACACTCTGGCACACCTTGACAGAGGGAAGCATTCAGTAAGCACTAACTAGCAGCTCCCTGCTCTGCCTCTAGACCACGCAGCCTGAGACAGAGGCACCAAAAGAGCAGAGAAGGAGAAACAATTGATAACTGTCAAACTTCTCTACATTCCTGCTCCAAGTGAGTCTCTTGGACAAATCCCGTTTCCAAGTCGCACTTGGAAAGCCCTTCTTGGTACCCGGGGTGCTTCCCTGGCCTGGAAAAGGAAGTCCATCATCTAAGGCAGAGCATAGTTAACCCAGAGGAAATGTCTGGCAACTTCCTCGCTGTTCCAGCTGAAACCCTCCACCCCAGGAAGAGCTCACGCAGTGGAACAGTTTGTCTCCCAGAGGAAGAGATGCTCAGCGCTGTCCATACTGGAGGCACTGTGGCCACTCATAGCCCTTGATCTCCCTTGGTCACCAACAGCCAGGTCCTTAGCTGGGAAGGGGGTCCGCTGCACTGGGCTCAGACCCCTCTCACTGCAGAGAATGATTTTGTTAACTCAAGACTAAATCCGGCTGTGTGTAACATGCAGATTGGTCCCAAATCCAGAGGTCCAGCTTTCAAACCCTGCCACCCAAAACCTGCCTTCATGAAGTGGAAAATCCCAAAATAAAGGAAGCTCCACCATTTCAAGAGCTGGTGCAGGGAACATATCTAGAGATTGCTCCTTAAGGATTTGATATTCCAGGAAAACCAAACGTGATTCCAGGGGGTCTGGCTGGCTTTGCCTTTGAATCTCTCTCCAGTCTCCTCTTTGGCTAGACGCCCTTGGAGTGGCTCTAAATGTGCAGGAGATGCCCCTCTTTTTCCCTAGAAGGCCTGGGGGAAAAAGGAGGAGCAGGCCCTGAAACCCCACCAACTCTCTTCCTGGAGCTTCCTCAAGACCCTTTCCCTAACCTCTGCACACCTTGTGCTGACGTGATATTTTGAGAATCTGCTGAGCCACCAAGAGGCAGGTTCCAGCCTGCCTGTGATACTGAGGCTTGTGGCGCCCGAGGGCCATTCTGGGCCATTTGTGGACTGGGTGGGGATGGCAGGGAGGTCTCTTAATCACTTCCTGTTTCAGGATCTCAGGAAGGAGAGGCCAGGGAGATCTTCCAGTGACATCAGGGACCCAAAGCTGAGGAGGGCAGATGTTAACACCTCCAAGAACAGGGACAACAAGACAGGCCTTTGCTAGACAATACTAATAAATCTTCATGTCTGTATATAATGTCTCAGGTAACTGGGCCTCTGCAGATTCGTAATTGAAAGACTATTAAATGGAATGTTCTTAGGTGGGACCATGGTACCGGGGCTTTGGGTTTTTCTTTATAGTGCTTATATTTAGAGATACACGCTGAAATATTAAAGCATGARATGATATGATGTGTGGGAATGATTTGGGATGCATGTTTCCAAATAACTGGTGGCAGATGGAGAGAGATGAAAGAATAATARCCATGAGCTGATGATTGTTGGCGGGTCATGAGTCTGGAGGGTGTTTGGGGGGTTTGGTTGTTTTTTGTTTTGGGGGTTTTTTGTTTTATTTTGTTTTGGGGGGTTGCTGTTGTTTTGTTTTGAGGGGAGCACAGAKTCTACGTTTATATGCCTTTCAGATTTTCCATGGTAAAGAAAAAATAAAAATAATKAATTAGGAAAAGTGGTAAAGAAAACAGTTGGCAGTTGGACACGGTGACACACGACTGTAATCCCAGCAGCTCGGGAGGCTGAGGCAGGAGGATYACAAGTTCAAAACCAGGCTCAGCAACTTAGCAAGGACCTAAGCAACTCAGTGAGACCCTGTCTCAAAATAAAATACGAAAAAGGGCTGGGGAGGTGGCTCAGTGGTCAGTGCCCCTGGGTTCAATCCCCAGCACCAAAAAARAAAAGAAAATMGTTGACAGAGGAGACAGATTTAAACTTTATATCTGTCTCAAGACCAAGCAATCAAGGTAGGCTGCCCCCCACAAAGGGACCACAGCTGTTGGGAGTCTCTGTTCAGCTGGGTTCAGGGCAGAGACAGGCAAGCTGTTTCCCCAGGGCTCCCAGGAATAGTGGGCTCCTGATATCCCTCCTGTCCAGCCCTCCACCTGCCCAAGGTACATACCTTCCACAGCTGTTTCTGCTCAGRAGAGAAGGCCAGGTCAGTGAGAGAAGAGAGAAGAAGTGGGTCAGTTTCCAGCCACACTGTCCTCTATCCAAATGTGCATACGTGCGTGTGCTTACCTTCCTGCTCCCTGGGTGCAAAGGAAGATACTCTCAATGCCTACACACATTCAAGAGCCCCCACATGCATGTAGGCGCGCGTGCGTGCGAACACACACACACACACACACACACACACACACACACACACCAGCCTTTCCCAGAAGATAACCCCATGTTTCATTCCCTCTTGCTTCGTGGAGTTCACACTTCTCTCCTGCTCTGCAAAGGCCCCCACTAACCTGGCCCACTCTTCTCACCCAAGCTACGTGTCACTGTCCCCAGCAAACTTCTGCATCATCCTGCTTGGTCCCTTTAGTGTTCTGCCAGCTTCCTCCTCTGACCTCACCTCTGGACTTCCCCTGGGCAGTGCCCCTTTCTAGAAAGCTCTTCCCCCCCTCCCACCAAACCTCTTTGCTCTCCGAATGCTATGTTAGTAAGACCTGTCTTCTCCACAAACCTCCTTTGGCCATCCCAATGCCTGCTACCTCCCTCTGCGCCCCACATCTGCTTGCTAATTCCTTTCTGCAGTTTGTTGCACCCCAACAGCCCTGTGAGGACAGGGRCTGTGTGTGTGGCTCTGGGCACGCCCTGGCAGCACGCCTCCACAGGAGACTGTTATTGGTTTGCCTAGTGGTGTCCCTTTTCCAGCTTCTCTCCAAGACAGGACTGCGGACCAGCACCGTCCTTTCRCGCATAGGGACCCAAGGTGGAGTGTTAACGCTGGGCTCTGAGTGGGCGTGGTGGGGCATCAGAGGAATCCCAGCTTCTTGGCTCTTCAGCTAGTGGCTGGTCCCCACCCAGGTTGGACCCTGTTGACCCTGGAGCTGAGCTCCTGTGTTCCCAAAGTCCCCCAGCCTGAGATCTGCCTGGGGTCTGCTGCCCAGATGTACAGAAGTGGAAAGAAAGAGGCCATATCCACCAGAATCTAGAGCAGGCAGCTGGGTGGCTCCTGAGGGGAGTGAGTGGCAAGGTGGAGGGGTCAACAYTGGACACAGGATGCTCCCAGATACTCACTCCTCATACTCCTCCACCACCTCTTCTTCCACGTCAGACATGGTCTCTGCTCTGCCTCCAGAAAGAGAAAGATGTCAGAGCTGGCAGAAAGGGAGCCTGCCTTCCTCTAAGAGCTCTGGCCCCAGGTGGAGCAGGATCAGGGGGCCCTGGGGTGAATCTCACCCCACCTCTTATTAGCTGTGCAACCTGCAGGGACAAGCCTGTTTCCTCCTCTGTAAGAAGAGATCGCAGCACCAGCATCATAGCCAAGCAGCCAGCTAATGTCCCTTTCATCCCTTGCCCCCAGCAGGCATGCTGTCTGGGATTTTGTGTTCCCATTTATAACTCTGAAAGCAATGTTTGTCAACTCGCTCCACCTATCCAGTCTGCAGATGCCTTCAGGGCAGGGGGGTGCTGACAAGTCCACCCCTGTCCTCCTGCAAGAGCACCCCCTGGGAGGGTGACATGGAATGCCATGGAATGCCACTCAGCGATCGAAAGAAATGAATCATTGATGCACACAACTCAATGTGTCTTCGGGAAATTCTGTCGATTGGGGAAAGTTAGTTCCAAAGGTCATACATATGATTCCACTTAYATAACATTCTTGAAATGGCAAGATTATAGAAATGGGGAACAGATTCGTTGTCAGGGGTGTGTGGAGGGTGGGAGGGAGGTGGAAGTGGTATACAAGGGTACTTGTGGGACCCTTGTGATTTTGCAACTGTTCAGTATCTTGACTGTGGAGATGTGTACATGAATCTACACAGGATAAAACTATAGAATTTAACACACACACACACACAGAATACAAGTGAAGCGGGAAAATCTGATTAAGATCCTTAATGGACTTATCAATGTGCACATCCCAGTTGTGATATTGCGCTATKGAGTATTTCAAATGTTTTCATTGAGGAAATTTGGGCAAAGGATGTAAACAATGTCTCTGTATTATTTCTTGCAACTTTCTTACAATTGCATATTAATCTATGCTACCTCAACAAAAATAGTTTCCYAGCCAGGTGTGGTGGTCCACACCTGTAATTACAGCTACTTGGGAGGCTGAGGAAGGAGGATCCCAAGATAGAGACCCATCTGGGCAACTTAGAGGCCCTGTCTCAAAATAAAATAAAAAGGGCAAGGTGGGGAGGGGTGTTGTATCTTAGTGGTAGAATGCTTGCCTAGCATCTGTAATGATCTGGGTTCAATCCCTGGTACTACAAACACACACACACACACACACACACACACACACACACACACACACACACACACAGTTTCCCTGGGAAACTTGTGTTGAGATGCTCCCCTCTGGTGACAGGCTAGAATGATTTGGATGCCAGTCTTCCTCATTCATATGCTGAGGATGACATCTGGGCAAGCTCTCAACGTCTCTGAACCTTGCTTATTTCTCTGTGCTATGGAGATAAAGTGTTCACATCCTGCCTCTCTGAGATCTTTAAGAGGATCAGATTGATATTCAGAGAAGTGGAAGGCTCTGGGCAACGTCAGGAGCAGCTGGACACACGCAATTAGAGGGAGAGGTCAACAAGAGGTGGAAGAGMAAGGCCTGGGGTAGGAGACTTATCTGGTCTTAAATACTGGCCCCATCATGCCTTTGTATGTGGCCTTGGGAAGGTCATCTCACTTCCCTAACCCTCAGTTCCCTTTGCTGTGACATGGCTCCTCTCCTGGGATGGAGACAAGGGTGAGAGTTGGTATAAAGTGCCTGGCCCAGAGGGGCACCCAACTGATAGCAATTCTATAACTAACACCAGGAACAACGGTTACAACTAATAACAATTACAACCCAACCCTCCTGAGAGCACACTAGTTGAAATGTGAACTGCGTCCTCGTTGGCAATCTGATGATCAGGCAACCATCCCGTTTATTGGGTTGGAAGGGATTCAAGGGACAAGGAAATGTGGGGTACGGCTGAAGTCAGGTGGGACAAGAATCAGGGTGACAGATGAGACCACGCTCTGATCTTTCTTCTGTGCCCTCTGCCSCCTCCTGCCCCACCTGAGACCTGCCAGAGCTTCACCACCCTCTGCAGCCTGACCCAAGCTGCCCAGATGGGGACAGCAGTTGGACAGTCCTGCTCACTCCTTTGCCCTCCCTGTATATGCCAATGTGGTGGCTGAGGCCAGCCCCAGGCACCCATCTGTGGACATCCAGTGGGAGCCCTGGGTTGAAGCCATGTCCACTTCAAGGCAACCCTTCTGAGACTGAGGGGTTCCCAGGGAGCTGCTACTCCCCAGCGGTCCATCTGGATAGAGACGTCAGACTCGGCACCTTGGAAGCTGGGATGGGTTAGGGACAGCTGAGCAAGAACCACCCCTGCTCCCTCTGCTGGAGCAGGATAGAAACTGCGAGAGAAGAGTCCTAAAAATTCACAAGGAATTCTGCAGAGCAGCTCTGAGACACTCCCACGTTGAAGGACGAGGGGAGAAGAGATGTCAAATGTGTAAGGTGTCCCAACAGGGGACTGAGCCTCATGCTGCTTAAAAAAAACCCTCAAATCCCAGAGGGTTCAAACAGGTGTCAGGATGACGGTGGCCAAAGAGAAGAGATTGCTAACCCTGGGAGGGGTGGGGAGTYTGTGCTTGTAGATGAGCATCGCCTGAACCCCACATGAGCAGTCAGAACTTGGCCTGAGAACTTGGGGAGCTGCTACCTGAGCCCCCCCACCCCAGGAACTTGTTGCCTCGGGGAGGAGGGAGCAGTTTCTCAGGGGAATGGTATGTGGCTGGCCCTGGACCCGTGGCTTCTGGCTTCTCTCCGGGCCTGCCCTCTCACCAGCTCAGAGCCACGGGGTGTGGCGCTGGGGCTCAGAGGAGGAAAGAGCGGCTTGGACTCCTCTCCCTGCTCCTGCAGCATCATCCAGCTCCTAAAAATAGTTCGAAGACCCTGGAGGCTGCGGAGGGCTTTTCAGCCAAGCCACTTGACCAGAGGCAGGACCTGATAAAGGGAAAGGGGAGGCTGAGCCTGGGGTCTCCCAAAGGGGAGAGGCTCAAGAATTTGGCCAGGCAAGGAATGGGAAGGTCCCCAGGCCCCTGGGGCCTCATACTCAGCCTCCCCCACTTCCTGGGCTGCTCTCTAGCCTCACTCCCTCACAGCAGGATATATCAGGTCGCCTTTCTTGGGGAGTAGAGCACCACAACACAGGGCCCAAAGAATACTGGCCTTGGGGGTCAAAAGATCAGTCTCCCACTCRTGCTGGGTGACCCTAGTGAAGCCAGTGGACTTCAGGTAACCTGTCTATCAAATGGATGAGCTTCAAGTTCCCATCTTGTAGAGACTGTCTCGAAGTTTCTGAGGAACACAGACCCTGTCCATCAGCCTTTGCCGMAGTGTGAGCTAAAGGGTCTTCCTAAATCCACAGCTGTTGGCCCACCTGGGAAACCGAGGGACAGGCAGAGGGGAGGRGGGAGGGACAGCCTGAAACTCAATCCTCTTGGATTCCTCTTTTGCCCCAGGGGAGGACTTGCCCTGGGAGAGGAGGGTCAGAGGAGGAATTCGGGAGGTCAGGCTGCTTCCCAGCTGCTTGAAATTCCTTCACACTGCATCCCGACCCCAAATTCCCTCCCCATGCCCAGGAGAAGCTAAAATCCAGGGGAGCTTCCCACCACTCCCAGGCAAAGCAAGGTCTGTCCCTCGGACTTAGTGGGGGGGGGGGGTGAGGTAGGACAAGCCTTTCACAAGCGACATGAGGGCTGCTAAACCCAGGGTCAACCCTTTCATGCTGATAAGCTTGGCTCACCCCAGGGAAAGGCCTCCCAGGGGGGTCTGCCCCATTAGCTCCCTTGCTTCTCAGCTCTTACTCTTCCCTAGGGAGGGGCCCATGCTGGGGCAGGAAAGTCCAGGGGAATTCACCAGTGGGCTTGGAGAAGCCCCAGAGGACCCATCTGCCTCTGGACATTTTGGCCTTTCTCAATATTCCCAGGACAGGTCTGAGTTCCTGGGGATGAGAGTTGACCACCAGGACTCATCTAAYGGATATGGCCCAGGTCTCACCCTGATCTCTGGGCCTTAAGAAGAACCTGCCTAGAAAGCACCAAGTCATTTGAGGGGATCCCTCTTGGGTAGGTCTTCTCTGTATTGATGGCAGGCAGAGGACCAGCAAGGACCTAGGCCTGTCTACAGATGAGGAAACTGAGTCCCAGGGAGGGCAAGTGACGTATCCACACCTTTACGACTGTATAGCATCTTTAGTGGCAGATCCACGACTTCAGCCCCGGTCTCTAACTGCTAAAACGTTTTCTTTTGTTCCACTGCACTAAACTTGGGGTCCAGTCCCAGCAACATCTCCTCTGAAGGGTGGTCCCYTCTATCAATCCAGTGTCCACTCAGAATGGACACACGTAGATGCTGCGGAAAAGGTCCAGGGCCAGGACCCTCATGTCCCCCCCCCCACCCGCTCTCCCCTTCCCTAGAGCCTTGCCCAAATCTTACCTCTGAACAGGGGCTGCCGACAGATCCTGGAGGTCTGCTCAGCTGTGGCAGGGACTGGGTGAGGGCAGGGGATGGAGAGGCTTTAACCAGGCGCGTGGGCTGGGGCCTGGGGAGCCAAGCCCTGCGGTGGGAGGAATGTGCAGCAGGAGACGGGGAGGAGGGGACACAATGGAGGAGGGTTGGCTGCTATTTTGGCAGGTGCCAGGGACAGGGCTAAAGGAACATGTACCCCACGCCATATAAGCCCATGTGGTCCTCCAGCTGCTCAGATAAGCTATTTAAAACCAGGACAGATATGCAGGGAACAGGGCTGTCACATAAACCAGCTGTCCCTCTTGAGAATCCTGATAAAGCAGATGCCAGCAACCCAGGCCTGGGAGGGCAGGCTGGGGACAGAAGGCAACCTCCAGGATACTACACAAGCCTCTGCACCAGGGTCCCAGGGCAGAGGGTGGGTGCTTATCTGCATCAGTGGAAATGATGCTGTGGCTAAAGATGCTTTTCAGGTTGCTAGCTGCTTCTAACGAGCAGGCGGTGAGACCTACAGGCCTCAGTGAGGGCATCTCTAAAGTGGGCTTTCTCCATGACCCCCAAGGCCATGTGCCAAATCCTGTGCTCAAGCAATGGACTTAAACTGATAGAAGACATCAGATTCAAGTCAAAATGGTCATTCTCCTTGGATGGGCAGCTGGGTTATGTGAAGGGGACAGTGAGATTGAAATTCATTCCTCATCAGCTTTAAACTCATGATGGCCATATCCTGGGCACCCTGCTAGATCCACAGTTCAGGCCCAGGGTCTTTATTGTCAGTTTGCACAGGTATGTCATGTCCGCGAGCACAGAGCCTGGCCCCTGGTAGGGCTGGTACACAAGGAAAATGAAAARGAGAAGAGGGGACCCAGTCTGGGGGCAGCTGGGCTGATCTCCACCTCAATATCTCTGAATCTCCATGGCTTGCAGCCTACCTGACTTCAAAGAAGGAAGGGCCCTGTTCTGAACCAGGCCCACCTCTCCCCACATGCCCCTGAATGCTGAGCCCCTGCATTTCCGGATCTTGCCAATTAGTGATCCACACTCTTGGTTTTCCAGAGAAAAATAAATCCAGCCTCACCCTTTTTGGCCCCCTCCACCCCTCGCCTGGCCATGTGTCCAGCATTCCTGGTGCTCACGCTCCTTGGTCCTGCCAACTGGGAGTGACAGTGCTGCATCCTGCCTATGGAACTTCCATTTGCTTCACACCCACGCTGCTAACAGACTCTATCAATCAGCTGACCCGGTCCCCTCCAAGGGGGACTCTGAGCCCAGTGGCCTTGATCCCCCTGCTACAGGCTTATCTCAGGTCACGTGGGCCTCCATCCTGCCAGCAGATCAACAGGAGGGCAAGCTAAAGCCACGGCCTGGMGGCCAGCATCCTGGGAAAAAGGGAGGCCTGAGGGTGGTGGCACCCTTTGTGCCTGCACACCCTCCCTGGGATGCCCAGTGAGGCAGGCTTCTGAGAACTTGGGAGCAAGACTCCRTGATTCCTTTGCTCATTTGCTTGAGTTGGCAGAGAGAGGCAGGTGGAGGGAGCCATTYACAGAGTGGAGGTGGCGAAGGAAGCAGGCTGTCCAAAGGGCAGCTCAGGCCTCCCTGACCCTATCTCTCACCCTAGCCCACCAGGACCCAGCTTGCTGCATGTCCTGGCCTGGAATCTCCTGGAACTTAGGAGTTGCTTTTCTTAACTTAAACTGAGCCACTTTCAGTGTGTCCCTATTCCTCATAAACCAAATAACCCTTCAGACACCCAAACCCTTGTTTGCACGGATGCCTGAAAGAGGAGTGTGGGCATCCAGACCCCACAGAGCCCCAGGAAAACCCCAGTGGATTCTTAGTGTCCACAGGCTACTGGAATGAACCTTCTACTAAGTGTTCTAAGGCAGGGCATCTTCGAGACAGCTGTAAGACAGTCACTTAGCTGACGGGAAAAGCAAGTCACCATCCAGCAGTCACACCTTAATATAACAGGGTTACTCCAGACCTGATTCAGATGCCTCTGTCCTTGAAAATAGTCACCTCCCAGTGCTTTTAGATGGGAAGAGAAAACAAAGCCAGAATGGTAGGTGGGGAGAAGCCTGTGCAGAGCAGGAAGGCAGGTCAAGGGGTGGCGAGTGCATGGGAGACCTATTCTGACTCCAGAGGGCGCTCAAGCGCCGCCTCCTCCAAGAGGCCTCCAAGCCACCTGGTCCCGGCAGCCTGCAACCTAGCACCAGCTGAAGTCACCTCCCATGAACATTTGTCTCCTTGGTTATCAGCTGCCTCCCCGACAGGAATGAAGACACAGCGCTCGTGTGTTGGGCACGTGAATGCAAAGGAGCCATGGAGTCTTGCCCCCAAGTTCTCCCTTAGAAGCCCGCGTCACTGGGCATCCCRGGGAGGGTGTGCAGGCACAAAGGGCACCACCACTCTGAGGTCACAGGTGCCAGAGAAGCCCTTCCCACTGCCCAGGAGCCTCTCCTAAGAAAGTCTGTGATGAGTTGTGTTGGCTGGAAAAGTTCACCTGCCAGGGGAACTTCCTGAAGGACATGAGCATGGGAAAGGCCTGAGAAGGTCATCTGCTTGAACCCTGTGGCTCAGAGAAGGGTTTGTCTAAGGTCATACCCATAATTCCATGCAGGGCCAGAGCAGTTGGGGTCCCCTCAGCCTCTGAGTACTCAGCCCACTCCTCCACCCTACCCCATTGGCTAACTCTGGACCAGGAGCTGGCGTACCCGCCATAGCTACAGCCCTGGTGGGGGTGTCRGGCGCTCAGGGCATGTCTCCAGGGTCCGCTACCCTAGCTCAGTGCACACGGGGAGCCAGCTACAGGAGGCTCACCTCTCCAATGGAGGTGGACCAGTCTGGAAACACTGGGAAGTCAGCACACACAGGGCTCACAGGGCCTGGTGCTGTCCTTGTTCTAGAGAAGTCCTGGGATTTTCCCAGGCATGCAAAGGGCATTGGGCAGAGGTTTGCATCTATTCTCACCTCCAGGTGGTTCTGAGAAAAWCTAGAGCAGTCAATTGGGAGTAATTATTCTGTTGAATTTAAAAAAAAAAAAAAAAAAAGATAATTTTTACTCTAAAGCMTTAAAGGGTCTGGAAGGCCCCGGACTAACTTGCTTAGATTGGTTGGTCCTGGTTCTCCAGTGGGCACTTTCCAAGCCCACGTGGGCCATGGCATTGGGAAATGGAGGAACRGATTTGGGAAGGTTGGGATACAGACAGGCTTGGCACTGTGGGTGGCAGTTGTCAACTCCCAAGTCACCAAGCTAGGACCATGGAGCGGCAAACCTACTACCTTCCTAGGAGAAGAGGAGAGACTAGGAAAACATCCTCCCTCCCACCGCAGCCAAAATCTTCCCCCTTGCACCCTGCAGATGTTTCTTGTTAGAAAACAAAGCYTCCAGGAAGGAATTCGTTTTTAAGGTATCATTCATCATTTACACCTGAGAGTGAATGCGTTTATCAAATCTTTCCTGAGAACAGATTTTTTTTTTTTTTTTCTGAGAGAGGGCAGGACAAAAAGTTGCACAAAAAGCCACTRAGCTTCTAGCCAGGCAGCATGCCAGGGAAGGGAGGGGAGAACGGGCAGGGGGTGGGGCACATGGACGGTACATGCCATCTCTTTCACAGTCTGGCCTGATCTCAGCAGGATGGGAGAGGCCCGGGGACTAGGGTGGGTAGGTCCGGGCCTCAGTGTGGGAGCACCATAGGCACATGGTGGCACTCGCTGGGACCGTATGAGGCAGGTGGCCCTGGAGTTCTTGCGACAGCCCTCTCCTGCCCTTGGAAGTGAGCAGGAGGTAGAGGACTACTCTGGGTAGGACGGTGAGGCTCCACAGCGTCAACGTGCATCTGTGTTGTGACCTAGGCTGCTGCTGGGTCCCAGGATCTGCTGTGCCCACAGCAGAACAAGAAGGTGCCAGGGCAGCTGTGCTGAGAAGGAGCTGTTGCTGATATTTCTGGCCCCCAGGAGTCCTGGCCAGACAGGTCCAGAGCAGGAAGGGAGTGGAGGCAGTGAGAGACAGGGACACYGCTGCAGGAGGCAGGGGCCTGCCATGAGTGAGGGCCCCGAGATGCAGACTCGCAGGCCTGTCTTGGCAGGGCTTGTCACACCTGGGAGGCAAAGATCAATTAGAACAAGGGAAGGGGATCTCCAGACAGGAAGGTATCCCTTTGCCCTAGCCCCACACCCACACGAGTCAGAGACCTTAAGTTGGCCTGTTGAAGAGGGTGTGGCTTTGCAGAGCTGTTTCAGCAAAGCCAGAGGAGGCCTCTACCAAGATGCTGGTAGTGGGTCAAGCCAGCCCAAGCATGCAGGCCAGGGAACATTCTAGGCAGCTGGACTATGCGATTGCAGGTCAATGAGCATGGATACATAAGTGAGAAAGTGGGGCCTCCCACCATGAACCCATAGCCCTCTGCCCCAGGGCCGGCCCCTCCTCCATTCACCTCAACATCCAGGGAGGAATCAGATTTCTTTCCCCACTGAGTCCTCTTGGTGGCCACCAGCTCCTTCCGTACATTCTGATTGGGAGCATCAGAGTGGAGACCAGGAACTAAGGTGAGGCTTAAGGAGGGGGCTGGGGTCCCCAAGGCCCAATCCCCTGCTTAGGATACCTCACTCCTGAAAGCAAAAAGGACCCCAGGCCACCTCCTGTCTCTGCTGCCTTCTGACCCACAGGCCCATCCACAGCCCTCCCCCACCCACACCCCACCCCATCTCCACTCCTGAAACCATCCCTTGCTCTCAGGCTATCCCTCCTCTGACCCATGTCACTCCACTATGAGACATCAAGGAGGGACAGGATACCTGGGGGTTCTGATCTCCAGACTCCTGAGTCTTGCTGATCCACAAGTTGAGCTTGGATGTCACAACCCCTGGCAATCTCAAGTTGTCCTAAAAAGAAAGGCTCTAGCTTAGAGCTTGGGACCATTGGCCACTTCAGGGCATTTTCAGAGGCCCTGGACTAAGGACATGACTCTACCTTAGTCCMACATCCATCTGTGCTTGCCATGTGTACTGGGGATAGCACCCCCTGTAGGGATTCGTGTGCCTAGTGGAGGTGACTTGGCTTGAGGACATCAATGGTAGGTCAAGGTTCTTCCAACATTAACACATGAAAATACTGTTTTCTGGCACTGCTAAGGCCTACATTGGGACTTTGGAGACCTCAGGGTGTCTAAGCCTGGAGACCCCCCAACAGGACTCCATCCCTCACCTTCCGGCTGGAGGCTGGTTCTGCATGACTCTGGCCAGTCAGTTCCTTCTCAAAGAGGTGGCGCTTGCTGGCCACACCCACAGGAGCCACAAAGAACTCAGTGCGGGTGGAGCCTTGAGACCTGACCGATGCTGACCTCTGGAAACAGAGACACAAGCCACTGAGCTGTGCCTGTGAGGTGCCTGACCACCTGGGCAGGAACCCTTGGCCCTGGGGAAGAGCCCCACCACACCTGTATGGCTGTGTGGTATCTCTCCAGCTTCTCCCCCAGCTTGACTGAGGTGGCTGGCAGCCTCACGCTGGCACTGCAGGAGGAAGATAGGGTAAGACAAACCAGGTGAGACACCCACCTCGGGGAGGCCCTGGCCCCGGGTCCTGAGGAGCGGCCCCCTCACATCCTGCCATTTTGGCAAAGAGAACAAGGAATAGTCTGTAATGACTTGGTTAAGGGAAGACTTCTGATTCCAGGGAGTTTCCTCCCCTCTTGAAAAAGAGCCCATTCAGTGGGACATCCCAGAACAGAAATATCTCACTCCTTCCCTCTTCCCTTCTCCTCCCACATCATCTCCTGAACTTCCCCTTCCTGCCTTCCCTAAACCTGTGGCCACCTTCCCCTCTCCCTGCTTGCCCCGCTGAGCTCTCCTCTCCACTGCCACCAGATTGCTCCTACCTTGAACAGATTTTGTCCCTTCCAGCCTCTCCCCCCTGGGGCCACAGGACAAGGACCAAATTCCCTGGCACAGCMCTGGAAGTGACCCGTCCCTACCTTTCCTCTCTGTGCTGGCACCTCCCCCCTCCCTGCCACATAGCTGGTGCCAGCCAGCTAGAATCCTGAGTCTACACCGTGCCTTTCACCTGCTGTCCCCTCAATTCAACATGCCACACCTCCAGTGTTCCATCTGGGAATCTCCCACTAGTTCAAGTCCCACACTGAATGTCCCACTGCTCTGTGACACCTTTCTAGATCCCACAGGCTGAGCTGCTGCTGCAGCCACCAAGCTCTGAGCCTGTTACACCTTCCTATCCTGTACCTCCCTGCTGAGGTGACTCTGTATTTGATGGTCTCATGTGAGTTGCCTGAGGGCCGCCACTGTCTTTTTTTTCGGGGGGGGGGGGGGGCCGGTTTACTGGGGATTGAACCCAGGGACACTCAACCACTGAACCATGTCCCCAGCCCTTTTTTTAAAAAAATATTTTATTTAGAAATAGGGTCTTACTGAGTTGCTTAAGGCCTCACTACATTGCTGAGGCTGGCTTTGAACTCGTGATCCTCCTGCCTCAGCCTCCCAGGCTGCTGGGATTACAGGCATGTGCCACCTCGCCCTGATAGCTGCTGTATCTTATTTTTGTTCTCCTCATCCAACCCCCACACCCCATGGCCTGGCCTAGCAGAGGCGGCCTCAGGAAGATTAGAGGGCAGAAGAATATAGCAGAGTGGGTCAAATTCCCAGCATGGGMAGAACCGCTTTTCAGATCCATTTTCAGAATTTTTCCAAAATACAGTCATCCATGCACAGAGCATGGGGTCCTCATTAAACACACAGAGTCCCAGGCCTCCACCCCAGGCCTGCCAATATAGAGTCTCCCTCCTGAAAAGCCCACCTCCTCTTCCCACCTCAACCCTGAGACTCAAGCCCCCTCCCCTTCAGAGCTCCTCCCCCCAGCAGCTCTCCTGGATGCCCCCTCCCTTTCCATCTCACATGGCCTCAGTCCCTCCTGTTAATCCCTCCCTCTGACAGATCCAGAGCTCTGGCAAGATCTGCACGTTCCCCTTGTACAGCCTGGCACAGGAGGGCAGGGGCTCAGGAAATATTCCACCAGACAGCAGAGAGTTGAAGCCTCCAGGCTTCCCACCTGCGGGTTAAGGCTTTTTCTGAGCTGTCTTTCTTAGGGCTCATCTGAAATGAGAAGAAGAGGCAGTAAGCAGGAGTCCCAGGGAAGTCAGTGCCCCGCCCCCCAAGACAGAGCCCAGCTTCTTTCTCCCCGACCCCCTACCACCAAAGAAACACATGACCACACCTTCATAAAGGCCCTCTTCTAATCTGGGAAGCACCTGCCTCCACCCACTAGTCTGGGCCCAAAGCCATTCCTCGTCTTCTCGAGCCCTGCTCACGGGTTACCTACCACCCCACTGCTGCCCCACTGACCAAGAGCCCTGTGGGCACCCATCAACCTCAGGCCTCCAGCCTCCTCCCCAGGCCCTGGAATGCATTAGGGCACAAAGCACAGTCAACAGTGAATGAGTGGATGACCCAGTGAACACAGAACTAAGAATAAATACTGGGTCACAGCCAAATGAGACTTCCCACTCCATGTGATTTGCACTGTTGGGGTGGGAGCAGATCAGAGAGAGTGCTGTGGAAACCCTGCTGCTCTGCCCGGCTCTCCCTCCTGGGTGGGGACCAGGCTTGACATCGGCAGGTGTGATGCCAGCAGCCCAGCCTGGTCCTGGCATCTGCCACCTTCCTGCAGCTCTGGTCTTCCCCCACTAGGTGGGGCTGCTCATGCTTATTGACACCCAGTCATTAACTTTTTCCTTTAATAGGAACTTGTACATGTTTTTGGCCGGCCATGGGGACTCCAAAGCCCCTCTCCATCCAGTGGGTCTTCATGCTATCACACCTAAGCCTCCTTTGCTATAATGGGTAGTTTCCTTGGCTTGCCCTCCAGAAGATTAGCGACAAGAATGTCCTGGGCTCTCACCCGAAAGGAGATGGTCCTGGGGCTGGAGCGTTTCAGGGAGCTGCTGTAGGTGATCTGAGTGGGGGAGAATGTGTCGTCTTCTTCTTCCTCCTTGCTGGGGATTTTTACCTGGGTGGAGCACAGAGTGACAAGAAGTTGAGATCTCACAGTCCTCCGCAGAGATCTAGGGCCCTACCGGCCGGGGCAGCCCCTAAACCCAGGCTCATCCCAAGAGCTGCAGGTGAAAGGGGGCGGGGGAGACAGTCCTGGGCCTAACCCTCCTGCCTTTGCTGGAGGCAGCCAGGCTCCCCAGCAGGGCTTTCTAGGAGATCTTCTGGAAGGATCTGAGACTTCCTAAGGACCTGCTAGGGTCCTGGAGTCCAGGTCCTCGATGAGGATGTGGTGTGGGGTCCCAGATGCTCCCTGCCCCACAGCTGGTGTCCCTTTCAGTGGCTAGGRACAGCAGGGAGACTCAGCCTGAAGGTGGGAGGACAGAAGCAGCAAGGGAACCAGAGGCCACTGGTAAGACTGGCAGGGAGGCCAGTCAGGGAGGAGGGATGGGAGTACTGCCCACCTGGAGAGAGATGGGCTTGAGGCGGGAAGCCACCTTGGGAGGGTCTGGTGAGGAAGATGGGGTCTCCTCAGGGAGGGCTTTTTCTCTCTGCTCCTTGGTGGTGGCCTGGCTTTTCCCAGAGGCCTGGGGTAGCTCTGAGGCCACTGCCCTCTTTGGGGCCAGCTTCGTCTCTGAGACCGGTGACTTTTCAAAGATGGATGCTTTCTCAGACACCAATCTCCTCTCTGGCGTCTTCTCAGAGACACTTGCTTTTTCTAGAATCGACTTTTTCTCCAAGATGGAYCTTTTCTCTGATGCTGCTGTTTTCTCAGACACAGATGTTTTCTCGGGGGCCGGAGACGTAGCGGAGACACCTGTGTTTTCTGGAACAGGCTTCTTCTCTGAGCTGCCTCTCTTCCTGGGCRCTGCTGTCTTCTYAGCTGGAGATGTCTYCTCTGGGGCTGACCCCTTCTGCGAGACACAGGTTTCCTTGCCAGGCGCTGCGGTCTTCTCTGACACAGGGGATTTCTCAGAGATTGAGGTCTTCTCTGGAGCCAGGGCCTCCTCYGGAAGCCCCTTCTTCCCTGCTGCTTGCTCCTCCTCTCGGGCCCAGGGTCCCCGCTGCTCCYGGCTCAGTCTTCTGCGGGGTGGGGGTTCTGGTTCCTTCTTGGGCACTAAGGGCTGCTTCATGGCCTGCCCAGGTCCCAGGCTGTCCCTTCCCTCCTCAGCCTTTAGCCTCTCCTGGATGGGGGTCTGTGCAGCCTCCACTGCCTGCCGCCTCTGCCTCCGCTCCTGCCGAGTCCTGAGAATTGTTTGGATTTCCTCAACTTCACCTTTGGAGGCTGGGGGTGGTGGCTTGGGCACCCCGGCTTCATCTTGGGGTGGTGGCTTGGGCACCTCGGCTTCTTCCACACTGGGCAGCCTGAGCCAGAAGATGGAGATGGAGGGCAAAATAGAATCAGAAGACATCAGAGGTGAGACAATCAACAAACACTGACCATGCAACAGTTTTATATGTGCCAGGGTGTGCTGGGAGTTGTGGGGGTCAACAAGAGTAAATGGGGTCCCTGCCCCATAGAGCTTAGATCAAGGTCAGAGGTATTCAAAGGTCACACAGCTAACTGGAGAGAGAACTGGAATTAGAACTCAAGACTTCTAAGTCACCATCCCATACTCCTGTCAGTCATGTGGGTGCAGCTGGGATTAGGTGGCAGTCATAGGTTTGGCTTAGCCCAAGACACATATCCTGGTTCCCTCCTCTGAGGGGCAAAGGAACAAGAGCAACCTGAGAAGATTGCCCCAAACCTAGAGCACTTGGTCTCCAGCTAAAGGAGATTCTTTTCCTTCCACCACCCTGCTCTCCATTAATTTCAAGCCAGTCAACTCACTGATTCTCAGTTTTCAAATCTGCAAACTGAGCTTGTCARGAGGCATGATGAGCCTCCCACCCTGAGAACACAGTCCTTGTGCTGAGGTGGCATTCAGTAAGTTCTGGGCCCTTCTCTCCCTCCCCACTCCTCCCCTCAGAAGTGACTTGTGGGGGGTCAAGGCTGGAGGGAGGCAGCCTGCTGAATGGACAGAGTCAAGCCATGGAACTTTACAAATCCAGGTGGAAATTCTGGCTGTATTACTCTTTAGGTATATGATCTTAGCATGGCACCTAAATGCCCTCCCACTAGTTTCTTCCTGTAAAACTGGGTAATCATCCGTCTCTCAGGGATAGTATAGGATTTAATGACCTATGTCCATAAGATGCCCAGCCACGTATGGGCCCAAGGATGGTCCCAACAAACAGCAGCCCTGGTAGTTCTAATGGAGATGGAATCCAGCAGAGCTGAGGAGGGGCCTGGAGAGCGTGAGAGGAACTTGAAATTTGTCCTTGTACCCTTCAGCCTCATTCTCTGGGCCTCAAGCCCCGGGCAGGCCAAACACATTGCACAGAATATGCCTGGGGCAGCTAAGTCCATCCCTGTCACCCAGAATGAGGAAATGAGGCCCAGCCCCCACCCGAGTACCTCTCAATGGCTGGATGGTCCCCATTCTGGGTGAGTTTGGGAGCCTCGTCATCTGTGACAGAATTCATGTTGCGATGCCGGCGCCTGCGTTCACGTTCCTGCTCCTCCTCATCTTCGAGAGTCCGCTGCCGGGCCAGGCTGGGGGAAGGAAGTGGGGATCAGCACAGTCCTGGGGACACCCCAGCACCCTTCCCAAGACAGACTCCCAAGGGCTGAGAGAAGAGAGAACACCCTCTAGGCCTACAAGCCTGGCAGTGTGGACAGTCTGAACAGAGCCATGCTGGACTTCAGAAACCCAGGATGAAGGACAATATGTAAAACCTCTCATTCAGATTTGTGCAGGGGCCAGGCACAGCGGCTCACACCTGTCATACCAGCAACGTGGGAAGCTAGGTCACAAGATTTGTGTAGCCGAGCATGGTAGCACACGCCTAAARTCACAGGCACTTGAAAAGCTGAGGCAGGAGGATCAGGGGAGCCCAAGAGTTCTAGGCCAGCCTGGGTAACACAGCAAGACGGCTAGATTTGCTAAATTGGCCTCAAATTTGCAATCTTCCTGCCTCAGCCTCCCAAGTAGCTGAAATCACAGGCTTGTACACTGTGTCTGGCTCCGGGATTATAGGATGTTTAGCAGCAGCAGCAGCATTTCCCAGTTGTGACAACCAAGTTTCCCAACATTACCAAATACTATTAATATACCAATATTACCAAATAACCTGTAGGGGTCAAAATCACCCCATGAGAATCACTGTGCTGAAATTTTCTCAGGACCCCAGAATGGAAATGTGGGGCCTTCCCTAAGGTGACTAGGAATGTGGAAAGGTGAACATAGTGCTGCCCAAAGAAAGCAAATGAACTTGACAAGTCCCTTTCTCTTTTCAGTCTGAGAATTCTTAGATAATATCCCTTAATGGATAATAAACAGGGGAACTTTCTCAGAGTTATCCAATTCCCCATAAAATTTCTTAGCCTTTAACAATGTGGGGCAGGGATAGACTCACACATAAGACCAGTTACACCTGGAAAAGATTCTAATACGCCTTCRTTTCCCAGGAGCACTTTGAACCTCTCCCGTCTTTTAGAACTTCCCTTTGCCTGAAGAAGTAAGGGGACCTTGTACACCCTAATGTGTTCCCTGCACCAAGTTACCCTTCACTCATGGGACAAACAGGCACTCTCACAACCAGACCCCACTAATCCATCCAGCAGCTCTTCATTCACACACCTCTCCATCCAGCTACCTGCCAATTCAAATGCCCCTCTAACTAGTCACTTACTGGTTTCCCTGCCCATTTCTGTCATCTTATCCACTGGCCTACCACCCACCTACCCACCTCTCCTCCAGTCCATCTTTCCTTCCATCCACCTGTCCTTCTAATCCAACCAAATACATACTTGCTAAGCAACTGCAAGAGGCCAGCACCATGTCAGGAACCATGGGTATCACAACAACATGGCAGGACCTCCACCCTGGAGAAACCTATAAACCAGTGATCTAGAAGCATATCCACCAAGAATTCTTCCAACCAAAGTACAGAAACGGTTCTGCAGAGTAAATGACAACCGCAGATCAATATTATCRGAAAAGGTTCACAGAAGGGATGGAACCTACACAGGATCTCAATGGATGATTTCCATAGGGCTCTTGGACTGAGGGGAAATGGCAATCCAGACAGAAGCAGGGCATCGAGCAAGCTGAGAAATTCAAAGGAATGGGGTCTGTTGGGACAGGATGCTGTGTTTCACCCAGAGAGGCAAGAGGATTTAAATAGGGGAGCACGGGGCTGTAAAGATTAGATGGGCAGAGCATTCTATGGCACTTATTGTGATACCCATAGTGCTCTTTGGAGCTCAGGTCAGAAGTTTCTAGAGCTTTCCCTGAGCTACAGCAATGAATAGAAAGCCTCCTCTTGCTGTTTCCAGGTGCCAAACTCTCAGGTCTCTTTAGCTCTCCTGGTCACTCTGCCCCTGAAGTGTATCATCATGAAATCAAGCCTCGACTCAAGGGGACTGGCTTCTGAAGGAAAAACAAAAAACAAAAATCACATGAACCCACAAATTTCATACACTGAACTGCATCTAGGAYGCACCTGCAGGCCTCCTGAAGAAGAGATTCCTCGGGAGTCTTTATAAGGGAGGGTCAGGACCTGGTTTCTAGATCTCCTGCCCTGGGGCAAGTGGATTCCTTTCCTTTTCCTCAGTTTTCACTCTTAAAATGATAAGGATGAGCCACATAAACAGCTCTAATTTTCTTCTAGGTCCAGCCTCGAATTTATAGAGCCCACATTTGCTCAACAAATATTTTTTGAGCACCCATGTCCCAGGCATGACTCCAGGGGCGGGACAGAGTGGGGAATGAGACCGACAGTCTCCTTCCCTTCACAGAGCATGCGGAGGACGAGACAGACTGCCCACAAGGAAACAGGACTCTGAACAAAGTGACGTGGGCCAGGTGTCATGAGGACGATGGGACGAGGTAAGTGACAGGAGAGAAGGTGCTTGGGTGGAAGGCCTCTCTGAGGGACCTGGTTCCCGAGCAGCCAGGGAGCCCATCTGGTGGCAATGTTCCAGAAAGGGAGCACAGCACACAGAGAGTCCTAGTATGAGCAGAGAGGGGTTCGGGGGACAAGGGCAAGCCAGGGCCAGACAGCAGCCCCCAGTGAAACTGGATAGCAAGCAAGGGCAGAGCACAGGGCCATGGAGACCCTCTAGTATCCAGGAGGGTGACAGGCACCCAACAGGTGCCAACAAATGTGAGAGAACAAGTGTAAACACCAGCTCCCCCAGGAATTGCCAAACCTCTGCCACCATCTGCAAGAGCACAAAGGTGGGGAGCAAATCCTGAGCCCCTTAAAGGCAATCTGTCCATCTCTCTGGGCAGGGAGGGGAATGTCTACCAGCAAATCACCCCACAGGAAAGGAGCTGCCTTAGGAGAGAACCTTCTAGTTTCTCCCAATTCTGCTACCAGGGCAGCTCTTTGGAGGAAGTATCTCAGTGCCCCCCTCTGCTTCATTTTGGTGCACATGCAGAGGAGCGCCCCCATCAAAGTTTCCAATATGGAAACAGGAACCCAATAGATGCCAACAAATACAAAGGAACAAGTGTAAACATCCATTTTCAGGACTATGTCCTTAATCACGGCCTTCAACAAGATTCCCCTGGGCCTTCACATGAGCCCTGCGGGTGCTACATATTTGAGGGTTGATACTTCCTTCATTCACTTTCTTATGAGCTGGCTTCTGCTGGCTTTCATCTGAAGTCACGTCTCCGTCTCTCCTTCTCTGGATGCACCCCTGCCCCTCCAAGTTTGGAAACAGCTCTTGCCCTCCAAAGAGGGATCCACATACGAAGGAAAGTGACCCACAAAGTCAGAAGTTCCTCACTCCTGACCACACCCAGAGCAGGACTGGGCTAGAGCCTCTGGGATTCTTTGGTCCTGAGCAACCCAGTTCCCACACACAGGTTCTCAGCCCTCAGGGAAGCAGTGTATTTGTTTATCCTTCTACRGGGCCCTATATGGTATGTGATCAGTCTGAGCCTGGTCTCTTCAGAAGTGACTCACTCCCTAGGCTGGTCCAGGCCTGGGCTATAGGGGATGGGGGCCAGTTGTCCTTGAGTGTTTCCAARCTGTAAACCAAGACCCTACAACTCGCCCACAGTGATATGGCCCCCGGGCTGCTCAGGAATCTTGGGGCTTCCTTAACCCCAGTACCTAGCAAAATAAGAGTCCCTTCAGCACCACCCCACCCTGAGGGAGGAATGTTATCAYCAATAAGCAAAGATTATTGGCCTCTAAAGATGAGGAAATGAACAGAAATTGAAAGGACACAAGGCAAAGGTCAGTCCCCAGGTGGTATAGCTGCTAAGAGCCCAATAATAAATAGAGTTGAGGGCCTAGAACAGTGCTTCATGTTTGTTGAATGTAGTGACAAATAAATTGATAAATAAAAGAATAAAGGAAGAAGTGATAGCACTAATAGCAAGTGCTTCCCAAAACACCAGGGACTAACTATTTTAGGATTACTTCAGTGTACAAACACTACAAATACCAGTGATGTTATCCTCTACATCCCTGTAAGGTGAAGGTCATCACCCTCATTTTGCATAGGAGGAAATAGAGGCATTCTCTGAAGAAAATGCAACTAAAGAAAAGAAGGAACTAAGACTCCACCTAAGTCAGCCACCCAAGACCTCATGTGGTTTACCATGATACCAACTAGCAGAAAAGGTTGTCCTGGGAGGACTTGCAGGGAGGGAGGCGGGTGGGAGAACTACTTAGCAGCCCACCCACAGCAGAACATTAAGGGAAAGGAGCCKGAGAGCCCTGGAGGTTCAGGATTCTCCATCCCAGGACAGGGTGCAACCTGGGAGGGCAGAGGTTGGGGAAAACCCAGTGACCTTTAAGCCCCAGAACCAGGCCCTGGGTGGAATCTGCAGGCTCCAAGAGCAGGGTAGTGCCAGTCACTCTCACCAGCTAGTGCCACAGCCCTGGACACCTGGCCCACCACTCCCTTCCTCTCCACAAACCTTTCCTCCACCTCCCAACCTTCATTTGGGATCAGACACCCCTCTATTTGCCTCATAGGGGCCACTAATCCTTCCCCACCCCCGATTTCACCAACTCCATCCTTTGGGTATGGGACTTCTCATTCTCTTTTATATAATTCTAAAGTCCTTCCTCCCTGATAAGCTCACGGAGACCACTCTCCTATCTAATTTCCATCTGTTCTGCATCAAGGGCACCAGTGGTTGTTAAGTGTTAAGAATAGCAGCAGAACCCATTTTCCCAAATTGAATCCCATGCAGAAGCCCATTCTTTAGGCAGGACTTTAACTTTATTCTAGGGAGCCCCGGGGGCTCTCTAGYTAGAATAAAGTTCTAGTAACTTTATTCTAGTTAAAGTAGGGAGAGGATGTGAAGGCTGCCCCAGAAGCATTTTGTTGACCCTGGGGCTCAAGAAGCAGGGGCTGGGCTGGGGATATAGCTCAGCTGGTAGAGTGCCTGCCTCACATGCACAAGGCCCTGGGTTCAAGTCCCAGCACCATAAAAAAATAAATAAAAAATAAAAGCAGGAGCTGGGGAAGGGAAAAACAGAGGAAGAAACCCAGGCCTGGCCATGACCTTGGGCCAATCTTTACCCCAGAGTGGGCAGGCATCAAACTCCCCTTCCACATACTGAGGGGTCACTGTGAGTGGTCCAAGGTCCCTTTTAGCCCAGATGATCTAGGGAGAGGTGCCAGGAGGACTCAGGAAAGCACTTGGAGGTGGGAGGGCTGCTTAAGGCCCCGGCAAGGAAATGATTAACCTGTGGCTGCTTAGTCCCAGGCACTCCCAGATCCACTCCTCACCCCCTGCAGACAGGCCTGGCCTAGCCCCATGGTCACCAGGTCAGCTCAGGGAGGAAAGGACAAGGCGGCTGACCAGGGCAGCTAGCCAGACAGCTCACAATCCCAGGGCTGGAGCGCCTAAATTTCTATGTACCATTAGACAGGCCGCAGGCTGGCCCTCAGCTCCTCACCCTTACTAGGGTCCCTTACTAGGGTCCCTCACTAGGACCACACTCGACACACCCTGCCTAACCTGGGAGGCTCGGTTGACTCACAGCCCTTTCCTGCTGGCCCGCTGAGGCTTGTTGTTCAGTAGAGGAGCAGAGCAAGAGCGAGCCTCTGCTCCAGGTGCCTCATCAGGGTGACTGTTGGCGGCAGCTATGTCTACCCACAGGGCTCTGTGAGGGCTGGAGCCAGGCAGGGAGGGTAGCCCAGACCTTCCGTGGACATCCACTTGGCCTAGACATCCCCTGGGAACTTGGCCCCACCCCTGCCTACCGTAGTCCACGTCCATCTGAGCAGTGGAAAAGCTAAGACCAGACCTTACTCCCGCTTTAAAAGTTCTGCTGCCCCAGCTGCACCACCCCCACATACAGACACGTCCACCCTGCTCATAACCAGGTGTGCTCTCAGACACGGAATCACATATAGCCCACCAGAGGATGAGCTTCTGAGGACATAGTGTCTGTTGTGTATTTTTAACCCAATACAGAGTACTGAGGTCTGCAATGAACATTTAGACTGAACATACTTGGATCTGCAAACTCTGAACTCGGTAATACAAAAACCCACTGCCCACACACACATCTCATCACTACACAGGCCATAAACATACTCGCCCACACATATGGCCACACACACACTTCTAAGCATGCATTCATAGGTACAGAGAATGCCACACCTAGAAGCCAAGACACTCCCACATCAACCCCTGAACACTGACCCACATGCAGAGTCCAAGGCCTTGACCCCCAGCCCCACCCTCAGCAAACCTTCCCTGGGGTGTGTCCAACCTCTTTAGCAGCCTGGGTTCTTTTCCAGAGCACTGGGTCCCCTCCATTCTTGGGGCTTACCTTTTCACCTCTTTAGACCCCATAGGCTTCTCTGCACTGGGGTTACTGGGCAACTGTCCTCAGAGCAGTGTGGGATTCGGAGAGTCTGGGGAACACTCCCTGCCCCCCTCCCTCCAGCCCAGGAGAATGAGCTGCTATGGGGAAGCTCAGTCTGAAATGCTGGAAAAGTTCTGAAGCCCTTCAGGGAGGGTGAGAGGGCAAGAAGGAGATCCTAAAGTGCTGGAAAATTCCTGCAAGATGCCTTGATAAGGAAGGCCTGTGGTACCCAAACTGCTGGAGGKTGCTTGGCTGCACCTGCAGAGATGGCCCTAAACTCATGATAGGTCTGAAGATCTAAAGACTCACCTGTGAGGACCCAAGAGGCCAATTTCTACCTGCTAAAAATCAAACCAAGGGAACAAGGTTCCAGCTATTGGAACATGTGCTATTGCATGAACCTCAGTTTTTGTTAAGAACAAAGAATGAGTGTATGTTTGGGGAGACAGGGTGCCCAGTGTAAAGATGGGGAGATAAAGATGCTCGTTCCAGCACTTCTGGAGAGGGGAGAAAGGCAGCTCCAAGAGAAATCACTAACCACAATGAGAGGGCTGCCTCCTGGATACCTGCCTTTCCTAGGCTTCTCAATCCTGACAGGAAGTTCAGCAGGGTGGGGTAAGATACTCAATCCCCAGACTCTTTGGGAGATGAGTTCTCAAATAAAGATGGGTCAGCAACCATCTTGAAGTCCCCAGCCAAGCTGCCACTCCAATGCCATACTCACAATCTGAGCCTCCCTTGATGGAGAAGAGGARTGGTCTGTCTCTTTCTTGTCCTATTCATAGTTCCCCATTCTGCTAAAGTAAGGTCACTCCTATTCCCTCTCCCAAGAGGGGCTGACAGACACTAGGCAGGAGCCTGACACTACAGCTCTGCACGGGAGCCAGGCGCAGTGAGGGAGGCTGACTCCTTCCCAATTCCCCCAAATGTTCTTTTTACCCCACGCAGGGGGAAGGTCACACCCTGGAGCTGTCCAGGCTGAGGATCAACCTTCCTTCGCCAAGTACTCCGTTTGGRGTCCCAGCCTCAAAGGGAGGACAGGAAGATGGAGAGGAGCGAGAATACCACCCTGTCCGTGAAGGATCGTGAGTTTGGCCCCAATTCTGTCCCTCCCGAGGAGCTGCAAGACCGGGGACCAGTCTCAGTKCCAGGATCCCAGGGCAGGGAGAAGACCGACGACCAGGGGCAGGAGATCCGAAGGTGTGCGGCTGGCCACAGCCAGGCATGGCCTGGCTCCCCTCCTGCCTGCAGCAGTGCTCACCTGGACAGCGCGGACCAGTCCTTTCTGGTGACAGACATGCTGCTGGAGCCCCGCGGCCGCCGCGTGCGTGGTGCTGAGTGCTGGGTGCTGGGTGCTGGGTGCTGGGCGCCCGTCGCCGCGTCTCACCTGCGCGCCCCTCCCCCGGCCCAGGTAGGATCACATGGCCGCTTATCTCACCCGCGCTCGCGCCCCGCGCCGCTGCGCTCCAATTTGCCGACCCGGGAGCGGCCTCTGGGGTGTGGGCGGCCCAGACAAAGCCGCATTGATCTCCGACCGGCTGGTCTGGCCGCGCGGGGCGAGCGCCGGGTGGACTGTCCGATCGGCCGCGGGCTCACCGACGGCGCCCGGTGGAGCGCGGGGCTGCTCGGCTGCCCCGGGCGAGGGCGGGCGACTTCCTGCTCAGAACCAGTCAGACCAGCTTGGCGCTGGGCCGCCTCTTCTCGCAGTGTCGCGGCCCCGAGTACCAGGGAGTGGGGCGGAGGGGCGGGGATCCGAAGATCGGGGTCAGGCTGAGCTCTCTGCCTGGAAATCGACTTAGCCCCGAGAAATCCAGGGGCAGGAAGCGGAAAAGGGGAGCAGGTTACAGTAATCTGGCACCGCCTGCCCAACAGACCCCCCGGAGACAGGTTAGGTTTGGCTTCCTCTGGCTGCGTACAAAACACGTGCATAGGAAAACGACCCCTCCCTAGGTGACACTCTGGACTCAAATCCGCAAGCACATCATTGCCCACAGCACTGAAAACCCAAATGTGCAAAGGACCATCCTTAGGCTCTGAGATCCAACTGTGGGCGCTGGGGCAGGGTGTGTGACAGGACTGAGGAATCTCAGCTTTGCTCCCTCAGAAGGGAAGAGGAAGCCCAGCTAATGGACTAGAGTTCTGGAGCAATCTGAGGCTGCTCAGCCCTGCACAGGTGTCCATCTGGTCTGTGCAATGCCAGGTGCTTTCTATCCAGGAATCTGCTATTTAGGTGCTGAGAGGGTCAGGTGCTGAGGTGGGGAATCTCATCTGCCCTGAGAGATCAGGATTGCAGGGTCAGCAGTAGTAGCTGCATAGATCCTGCTCTGAGAGGAAGGAGATGCAGCCCCTGCACAGGGAGGAGAAGATGGCGGGCAGGAACTGCCAGGGTTCTGCTGGCCCTTGCTGCACTGTTTCAGCCTCCAAGTGCTAACCCAGGGCTGGTGGTCCGTATGCTGCCCTCCAATTCAGACCTCACCATGAAGGGCAAGGAGCTGCCAAGTACCAGGTGCACCTGCCTAAGGTACCTCCTGCCCAAAGGGCCCTTCCTCCTCTTGCATAGGAGATGATGTGAGAGGCTCAGGGAGTGACTTCTGGTCAGGGATCCTGGAGACATGGCTTTGAGTGCTCATTCTGCCATTTATGAGTTTGCCTCAGTTTTCTCCTTTGTGGAGTGGGAATAATGATACCTGGCTTTGCTTCCTTCCAGGTTGTGAGAATCAAATGAGTTCCCTGATGGTGACAGGGGAGTGAGCAGCATGAAGACTGATAAGGCCACAGACGGTTATGAGCACTCTGCTCAAAGACACGACCCTGAGCTGTTTGCTCTCTCCAGGGGGAAGAGGAATTGGCAATAGTCAATATCCTTGGATATGCTGATCCAAGGCTGGGCATGTCCCAGGCAACCTCTGTTTCCCTGGAGACACAGTGAATATTCTCCCCATGATTGGTCCGTGATGTCATTTCAATATAGGAAGAAAAGTATCCTGGTTATTTGAAGTCTGATCCTGCCAGAGATACTTAACAAAGCTAGAGTACAGTCCAGTTTCTAAAAGCCCAAAATCCAATATTATCTCTATGTGAATATAAAAACCTAAAACATGGAAGTTTTAGGTATGAAGTTGGTTTCTGGATTTTTTTTCCTTTTGTTATTTATTTCATTTTGGTATGCAGATAACCCAACAAGCAATTATACACATGTAATTGCCCAAAAAATTCCTTGAGGGAGGCACTGTGTATATACCCAGGCACTTCCTGTGTGCCAGGTACAATACGTTGTGCAGGGTTAGTATATTAGTTTCCAAGGACTGCTGTAACGAAAGGGGTAGCTTTAAACAACGCTTATTCTCTCATACTTCTAAAGCCTGGACATCTGAGATCATGGTGCTGGCAAAGCCATGCTCTCCCCAAAGCCCTAGGGAGAATCCTTTGTTTCTTAAAGCTTCTGGTGTTTGCTGGCAATTCTTGGGAGTTCCTCGGTATGCAGCTGCATGACTCCAGTTTTCACCTCCGTTGTCACATGGCATTCTCTGTGAGTCTTTGTGTCTGTGTCCAAGTTTCCTTCTTCTTATAAGATTAGGACCAACCCTAATCCAGTCTGACCTCATTTTAACTTGATTATTCCTGCAAATATTCAATTCCAAATAAGTCACATTCACAAGTAGCAGGAGTTATGGTTCAGGGACAGATAATGAGGACTTGGCTCCTGATCTCAAGACATGCCCCATTCTAGAGGCAAACACACACACACACACACACACACACACACACACACACACACACTTTGGGGGAGGTGTATTTTTATAGCCCACAAAAGAAATGAAGGGGGCTTGAGTAAGGGCAGTTAGGAGGAGGGAGGGAGAAGATGTTGGCAAGAGTTTTGAAAGACTGAATTGTCAGGACTGAATCCATTGACCATGACTGGTGGCTCCCTTCCTGGTTTGAGGGACTGGGTGAATACAGATGCCACCAATGAGACAGGGTTTGGGGAAAGGACTTAGGGAGGAGGGTGACTACAGCTCATAGACCACCAAGAGTTTCTCAACCTTAGTATCACTGGCATTTCAGCCTGATAATTCTGTGTTGTGGGGAGTACATGGGAAGATGGCCAGCAGCATGACTGGCCTCTATCCATTTGGATTTAAGGTCCCTGAAGATGCCAGGTGGAGCTGTCCAATAGAGGACTGGGCATTGATGTGGAAGCTCAAGAGACAGTTTTACCTTGTGTTTTCTAGAGCACTCAGGGGAAATGTCAGTAGGAAGGAGGAGGCAGTGATTCTTTGGGGGCAGGGAGGTCAGTATCTGCACCCATGTGTAGGCTCCCTGAACCTCTTGTGTGTCAGAGAGAGGAAAAGAGTGTCTTATTTGCCCAGTACTCCCTCGACACTGTGCCTGGCATGGTAGGCAATCAATAAAGGTTTGGAGAATTGCACTAACTCAATTGGGGAATAACAGGAAAACCAGGTAGCCTGATAACCTCTGCCAAGGGTGACATTGAGAGACTGAGTCAGGGAGAAACTGAGGTCAGGGTGGTCTAAGAATCCAAGACCATTGGTCCCCTGGGTCTGGAAAACCAGATATGGAGCCTCAGCAATTCTCAGGGTAACCATTGGAGTATAAGTGACCGTGTCAATCTTGTCCACCAGCAGTTGCTCATGAATATTCAAGGATGAGTCTACCATTGGTAGTGAAGAAACCTGAAAGCATCTAAATGTCCATGAGCAAGAAAATAAATGAGGAAATAATGGTGTTTTCATCATTTCATGGCAGTGAAAATGAATGAACTGTAGTTATCAACAAGAATGAATTTGACTTTATTTTTAAAGGGGGAAAGCAAAAGGCATGCATTTATGTAAGATTTATAAAAAGATGAAAAACTAGGCAATTCACTGATTGGAGATTCATAAACATATAGAAATGTTATAAAGAAAATCAGATAACCATATAGCAGCTCCCCTGACCCTCAGACCCTCAGATGATACAGTCTAAGCCCCCCAGGGAATGCCTAAAACCACAGATAGCACCAAACCCTATGTACACWATGTGTGTGTGTATGTACAGACATCTATATATACCTATGATAAAGTTTAATTTATAAAGCACAATAAAGAGATCAGCAGTAATTGATAATAAAGGAACTGGTGGTATAGCTCAGTGGTAGAAACAAGTGCTTAGAACATGTTCAAGATCCTGGGTTCAATCCCCCAGGGCTAAAAAACAAAACAAAACCACTAACTATAAAATAGAATGATTACGACAATGCACTGTGATAAAAAGTGTCAGCATCACTCCTCTCCTGGGGCCATTATTAAGTAAAACAAGGGCTACATGAACTCAAGCGCTATGATGTGGCACAATGGATCCTATCACAGCAATGGCCGAGTGTGTGACGGGCAGGAAGCTTACACAGAATGGACATGCTGGACAGCAGGATGGTTCACGTCCAGGGCAGGATTTAGAGCAAGACTTCATCACACCACTTAGAAGAGTGCACAATTTAAAGTTTATGAGTTGTCCATTTCTGGGACTTTCCATTTAACATTTTTGGACCCATGTTGACATAGGTAGTTGGAACCACAGAAAGCAAAACCATGGATCAGGAGGGTTCCTCTAGACATGAAATCGAGGCCCACATTTACCTTCATAGACAGGCAGGCATCAAGACTGGGGAGGGGCACACAGGGCTTTAAAAGCATTTGCAATATCCTAGTTCTCAAAGTGGGCGGTTGCTATCTGGGTGTTCATCTTATAATTCTTTAAATAACTTCGAATGTTTAAAACGTAAGCACGTGTCACTCACTTCCTCCAGGGAGAGTCCACCAATTCCGCGCTTAGCACAGCTGGGTATTCCCGGGTCAGGGGCCAGAGCTTTTCACCATTTCTCAGCCAGGACTGGGGGAGGGATCACTTCATTTCCCCCTCCCCTGAGGTTCTGAGGGGGGCCCCAGAACTTCCAAGTTCAGGCTTGGAATCCCCCCAAATGTAAGATTCATAGGGCAACTTCTTTTCCAGAAGGCTAGAGTGGAAATCTGGGGGATCCCCAGCCCTGGACAGCTGACTTGGAGGTCATGGCTTGACATTTCAGTTCTGTTTCCAGTCTACCACCCCCTGCCACCAGCAGCTGCCATGCCTGTGGGACTCTTGAGGGAAGAGGAGAAGAAAAAATGTGGCATGAGACCCACACCCTGCAAAGATCCAGGACAAGTGTCCCTGGGTTTTAGTGTTTACAACCTATAATATCATTTTGCTTTGTAAATAAATGAGGAAACAAGTCACCACCTCCTATCCTCTCACTCCATAAG